GCACCGGCACCCTGTCACAGAGCCCCAGGCTGGGGGCTCCCCTGTTGGGATGGGAGCCCCTGGCTGCCTGGGGCTGTGGTAAGTGTCTGCATGGGCCTTTCGGCCCTCAGTGTTCACCTCCTCTTCCTCCTCCTGGGCTGGGGACCCAGGGAAGGGTCAGGCTGGTGCAGGTGCAAAGCTGCCAAGAGACCATGGGCATACTGTGGCCTGGGGGCAGAGCAGAGAGAAGGAGCCGGGGCTCCCAGAGAGCACTGCCCTCCACCCCCAAGCAGAGGTCGGGTGACTGTGCTCCGGCCCATGGGGAGTGTGCTAAGCTGGACAGAGGACCCGGGCAGGTCCCAGTGCTGGTGCTTCCCACCTGGGCAGCAGACAGGGGTCCAGAGTGCTGGGCACTGCCTCTGACCACCTGCCTCCTGCTGAGCTGGGGACCATTGTGGCTGGGCTCCGGGGAGTTCGTGGGAAGGGAGTGTGCTGTGCTTGAGGCCTGGCGTGGTTCCCTCCCTAGTGTCACCAGAGAACCTATGTCACCTGTCCCTGTCACCCTACAGTCAGGAGAACCAGCTGTCCCTCAGCTCCTCTCCTGGGAAGTGCATGCCTGACCACAGAGGGGGAGCAGAGGGTGTGGTTTCTCTTTTCCTCTCTCCTCCCCAACACCCCTAAACAGCCTCCAATTAAACCAAGCTCAGCTGGGAGTCATCCCCAACCCCACCACACCTGCCTCATAACCCCATCCAGGAGGATAGCCTCTCGATCCAAATATGAGCCTATCCAGAGTTGGAGAGCTTTCGGGGTCTCCCCCAGGCAGGAAGCAGGCCAAAGGGCTCTGCCATCATCACCTCTACCTCATGACCAGAACCCCTGGTCTGACACCCATCTCCTGGTCCCCAAGCTGGGGTCTGACCCAAGGACAGGCAGCTTGTGCTTCTAGTGAGGGGGCAGGTGGGCGAACAGAGCTCCTTGCCCCTTTGTCCCAACACCATGAAAGTCCTGAACATCTGGGCTGATGGCAGCTGCTACCTGAGCAACCAAATAGCCATGTTCCTCCTCCCAGATCCAAAGCACTGGCCCCTTTGCAGAGGGAGCACTCCTCCCCATGTGATTTCTAGCTTTGGAAGACAGTAGCTAGAGCTGGGGTTTTGGTGGCCATGAATCCTGGGTAGAGAGCATGGAGGCTGTGGAGCACCCCAACCTGTGTGACCCGTGAGTGTAGGTGTCCGAAGAGGGCATCCTCCTCCCCTGGGCTCTCTGGCAGCACCTAGGGCGGTTCTGCATTGTGCCTGAGGATGGAGGACCCGGAGGAAGGAAGAGCCAGGGTTTAGAGGAAGACCTCAAACTCTGCCTCCCCTGTGCTACTGCAAATGACACTGGTACCAATGACAAGATCCCAGCAAGGCTGGCCCTGCCACTGCGAAGGGACAGAGAGCCTCGCCGAGACATGTGGCAGGGGTTTGAGGGTTAAGAGCAGCCCCAAACTTCCTCATCCCTGCCAGAATCTGTCCTTTCCTGACTTGTTAACTCTAGGCGTTCCGACAGGTGTGAGGTGGTATCTCACGGTGGTTTTTTTTTTTTTTTTAATTTTTTTTTATTTATTTATGATAGTCACACAGGGAGAGAGAGAGAGAGGCAGAGACATAGGCAGAGGGAGAAGCAGGCTCCATGCACCGGGAGCCTGACGTGGGATTCGATCCCGGGTCTCCAGGATCGCGCCCTGGGCCAAAGGCAGGCGTCAAACCGCTGCGCCACCCAGGGATCCCCTCACGGTGGTTTTGATCTGCATTTCCCTGATGATGAGTGATGTTGAGCATTTTTTCACGAGTCCGTTGGCAGTTTGTGTGTCTTCGGAAAAAATGTTCATGTCTTCTCATTTCTTCACTAGATTATTTATTTTTTGGGTGTTGAGTATGATCTCACTCATACGTGGAATTTAAGAAACAAAATAGGATCATAGAGAAAGGGGGGAAAATAAATCAGGGAGACAAACCATAAGAGACTTAACTTGGAAACAAAATGAGGGTTGCTGGAGGGGGACAGAGTGGGGGGAGGGGTCACTAGGTGAAGGGCCTGAAGGAGGGCATGCATGTCCTGAGCACTGGGTGTCTACCTCTGAAACTAATGATTCACTATATGTTAATTAACTGAATTTAAATTTAAAAAATGCTAAGAAAAAAAAAAAAAAACAGCTCCAAACTTCAATATCCTGTCCTCTTGGTGGGCCTGACTGAAGTGCTTTGCTGGAAACAAAAAACAAATTGAAAAAATAGGGATGCCTGGGTGGCTCAGCAGTTGAGTGTTTGCCTTTGCCTCAGGGCATGATCCAGGAATCCAGGGACCGTCCTGCCCTGCATGGGCTCCTTGTGGGGAGCCTGCTACTTGCTCTATGTCTCTGCCTCTCTCTCTCTGTGTCTCTCATGAATAAACAAAATCTTTTTTTTAAATTTTTTTAAATTTTTATTTATTTATGATAGTCACAGAGAGAGAAAGAGAGAGAGGCAGAGACATAGGCAGATGGAGAAGCAGGCTCCATGCACCGGGAGCCCGATGTGGGATTCGATCCCGGGTCTCCAGGATCGCGCCCTGGGCCAAAGGCAGGCGCCAAACCGCTGCGCCACCCAGGGATCCCGAATAAACAAAATCTTAAAAAAAAAAAAAGATTTTATTCATTTATTCATGACACACACACACACACACACACACACACACACACACACACACACAGGTGAGGGAGAAGCAGGCCCCATGCGGGGAGCCCGATGTGGGACTTGATCTCCGTACTCCAGGATCACGCCTGGAGCCAAAGGCAGACGCTCAACCACTGAGCCACCCAGGCGTCCCTAAATAAATAAAATCTTAAAAAAAAAAATTAGGATCTGGTTAATGTTCTGCGTTGATAGAAACCTGGGGATGGTTGGTGTGTGGATGGAGTAAATGCCGTGGGGCGGTGCAGCAGGGGCCATTCTAGGGCGACCACCTGAGGATAGCACGTTGCCAGTGCTCGCAGAGGTTTCAGCAACTAGGAGACCAGAGTAGTGCAGTGTGATGGCAAGGGCCAAGGACAGCTGGGGACTCGGCCTCCTTTCCGTCATGGGGTCAGTGGCTTTCAGAACACCGGCTCCATGTGGAGGAGGAATGGTGAGGGCGTCCAGTCACTATTGCAGTGGAAGGAAAGGGGGTCCCCAAAGCTATCCCATGACTGTAGGGAGCACAGGCACAGCTCCTTCCAACCACCCCTGAACTCCCCCACCAAACCACCATCCCCACGCCAGCCATGACCAAAGCATGAGCCACAGGAAAGTTTAGAAACCATTCCTTTCTTTATTAAACATAGCTTGCAAGTGATAAATATTACAAAGTTTTTTTCTTTTAATCCTTTCTCCAAAAATTAGCTTATTATTTGAATCTGTTACTGCTGAAATGCTCAGCAGCATCTGAAACAGATGGGAGTGTATTTGCCTTTTTGAAAACCAGTTTCTGTTGGTCTTAGTTTTTTCATTTTAATTTCCAAACACAATGCAGAAAATCAGAATGAGTTAAAAAAAAGGAAACTTAGAGCCTGTGCAAAAGGGTCTTGCCCCCCCACCCCCATTCAGAGAGGCCCATCCCCGCCCCAGCCCTGCTCCCCGCCCCGCCCCCACTCTGCCCCACCTTCACCAGGCCTCAGTCACCTTCCTGGATCCTCCCCAGGATCCACCCCAGGCTTCCTGGGGCCAGGAGCCTGGAGTGTGGGAGCCTCAGCCCGGGCTGTGGGGTGCCGCCTGCAGGGGCTCCCATGAGTTCTGAAGGAGACCAGAACTGGGGTGCATCTGAACTCTGCTACGCGGTCGCCAAGATGGGCAAGTTCTGCACCCTGCAGTTTACCAGGGGTGCAGGTGACTAGACCTGCAACCCGAGGGCCCTATCTGTGGCTGCTTGTCTTGGGGCCAAGGGCCTGAGGGCAACGGGGTCACAGGTCTACTGATGTCTAGACATCACTCTTGCTGCCTTTCCTGAAACCAAAGTTGTGGCAAGGGCCTGGCCGCTGTGCAGGGTGCAGTTGCACACAACTGCCACCTCGACACCTCAGTTCTGCACCTTGTCGTTTTGCAGGTGAGAAAGGAAGCATAGGTAGAGTCTCACTCTTGGTGGCCAGATGATCTCTCCTGATCTCTCCTTCACAAATAAGAAAACCAAGACCTGGGAAATGAACTCTACCAAAGGTCACATAGCAAGGTAGTGGGAAAGCCTAGGACCAGCCCCCCAGGGTCTCCAGACGGTGTTGTCACCCCACCCGTGAGCCCTGGCGCTCCATTCTCTACAGCCCAGACCAGGAGCCCTAGCTTTCATGCTGGCCCACCTCACCCCAATTTACAAAGCCTAAAACTGTGTGCAGACGCATGCGGCTCTGCAGGTGAGGCTTTCTCAGGATGACTTGTTAAAATCTTTTCTATCATCCCCTGATAATCTACTCGGAAAGACCCATGGAACTAGGTTCTTTTTTATGGGGTGGGGTGGGGTAAATCCCTTGCATAAGAAAGCTTGACACTGAATTTTGTTATATAGGTATATTGTATATATGCTGATGCAATCAGAGGAAAAAAAACAGTGCAAATACAGTTACAATTCATAATAATACTTGGTTTCAATGCCCCCGGGGACTGCCCCATTCCTCGGCTACCTCCCGACCCCCAGCACTTCCCCACAGTATCCACCTAATGCTGGGGGGCTGGGAGGGGGGCAGGTTAGGGTAGGGAGTGGGCTCTGCCAAGGCAGTGCTGGTGACCCGGAGGACGACTCCAGGGCGGGGAGGCAAGGCACAAATCAGGGGTGGGTGGTGGGGGAGGTGGCATCTCTAAGGAGGGATGGGGTTGGAGCAGCTGCCAGTCTGTGTGCTGGGCCCGGCCCACTCCCCTGCCCCACCCTCCAGAGCCCTGCCTCCCTACCCCCACCCCTTCCCCAGAAACCCTTTTGCACGGATCATACACAAACGGGCACATTACAAAATGACATAACACAGTTTCACAATATCCATGGCGAGGGCTTTTTTTTCTCTTTTTCAGTTTTTTTTTTTTTTCTACACAATGTACAATTCCTTTTAAATGGATCAAGAAATAGCTTATATACACGAATGAGTCCTTGTTATAACATCTCGGCAGCAAGTATCATAAGCTAATGAAAGTCTTGTTGGAGGGCGGGGGAGCCTAGGGCCGGGTGGGGTGGGGTGTGGAGAGGAGGGTTAAGGGGGAGTGCTTGGGAAAGGGACAAAGTAAAATACCAAGAAGCATCTTTACAAAGCGGCTCTATAGCTAAGTCCTTTTAAAGGGGAAAGGAAAGGTAACCAAAGCAGGAAAACATTTATCTTTGTGTCTTAAAAAAAATGGTCTACCATACATACATCCAAAAATGTTGAAAAATACTTATTCCGGGGATGGAGAAAGTCCAGATGCTGTGGTCAAATGACAAAAATAGGAAATGAAAAAAAAAAAAAAAAAGACAAATGACCTCTGTCCCTCAGCTTCTCAGCTTTCCCAAAGCTTTCCTGCTCATCTACCCAATTCAGGTGTCTCAGGAGTAAGCCACTGTCCACGAACCACCACCTGCAGAGCCTCTGGATATGGAGGAAGCCGGGCAGAACCAGCAGTGTCCTCGGCCTTCGTGTCCCCAAGCTTCAGAGCACTAGGGGAGAGGCTAACTGAACAGAGCGAGGTTCCTCCTATCTTTAGGCATGAGGGTTAGTGTCTATGGGCCCAGCCATCCTCAGGGACTGGAGGGACACAAGGTTATTGGTGATGAAAAACTAGAGAATTAAGGAAGACAGACGGATGGGGGTGGGGAGCAGGGAGGAGGTGGAAGGCTAATACTTCACCATGATTAAGGAAAACTCACCCCCATCAGTAATCCCAGGAAAGGATATGAAAAATGGGGAGGAAGGGTAAGAAATCAAACCTCAGCGATTGAGCAAAGGGTCATGGAGCTACACTAGTCAACAAGCAGCCTCTATGCAACTGAGCCCAAGGGAACGAAGAGGGAGGCTCCCACTCTGCCCGTCCTCCTCTGTCCTCCTCCTCCATCGCCCCAGCACCCTGGCAGGCACTCGGCTGGGCATTCCTTCCCCATCACTCCTCTGTCTACACAGCCTACTTCCAAACCCCATTCAAAGGTGGCCTGGCTCCCAAGGAGGAGGCTCGGCTCAGGGCAGGGATCGCCCCCAACCAGACGGTATTGCACATTCTCTGTTCCTTACACTTAATCTCAAGTGACAGATTTGGGCACCTGGTACCTCCAAAGCTGGGGGAGGGGAGACATAACAGAAATGGCACTTCATCATGGTGGGCGGGGCGAAAGAGGCTGACAGACATGCCACAAGGCAAGATGACTTGTAGAGGAAGGAAAAAAAAAAAGCTTCCAATTTTGTGGAAGAGAGAAAAGCAAAACCAAACGATTTATCCAGTGCTTTCAAAGCACAGAGGGCAAAGAAAAGATGTAAGAATATATCTTTATATATATATATAATTTTAAAATAATCCCAGACCCAGTTTCATAACCCCCCTCCCTCTCCCACCACTTACAGTCAGGGGTACCACATTCCCCCTGAAAAATACTCCAAACAGCCCCATCACTATCTGTTACTAGCATCTAGCTTCAGATCACTTCACCACTGGGGAGCCCAGACACAGGCTGTATCTCTGCTCCTTTATTAAGTGCTCAATGAGTTTGGGGGAAGGGAGGAAAGAAAAAAAACCCAGGAAGGCCCGTAGGGCCAGTAGAGCAACCCGCAGTGGCTCTGGGGTATGGGGAAGGGGACTGAGCCTGATCCCAGCTCCTCCACCACTTCCCCCAATCCCCAGACTTTACGGGGAAGATGTGCAGTTTGTGTGTGTGTGTGTTAATTTTAAAAGTGCCTTCTTATTTTAAAAAAATCATTTAATTTTAAAAAATAAAAGTGGGGGAACTTTTCCAGGTGGCTTTCAAGGGCAAAATGCCAAACTCCTCTTCACATCTCTCGGCTCTGAGCAACCCTTCTTGGCACTCTGGCACCTGCTAGAGCTGCAGACGCAGGTGAGTGAAACCCCTGCCTTGAAGGGGCTTCCCTAACCTCCAAACCAGCCTGGTCCCTGCCCCCCACCGCCTTCGGGTGTGGGCAGGTGGGATGTTAACCTCCCATCCCCAGAACAGCAACATTGCACAATTCAGTTCATTCTCTACATTAGTAGCGCTTAAGAAAAAGCTGAAAACAGAAGAGGAAAATTAATAGTTTGGGGGGGAGGGGAACACAACTACTACTCTGCACAGAGGGGTCCAGAGCTGGTTTTGATGAGAGATGTCTGGCTCTGAGCAGCTGGTGCGGTACTTGCGGTGCAGGCCTCCTTGCCTCTCCTCTGGGCACTCAGGGTGGAAGGACAATCTGTCTTTCCTCCTGTCTCACTCAGCATGCCTGGCCCAACCTCTAGGACACCGGCTAACTCAGGCTGGGAATAGCCATGCCTCTGCATTACAGATAGAGAGACAGATGGGGCTGTGCTTCCCAGAGATTAGTATTGAAGGCGGAGGGGGGTGGGGGGCAGAATTTTACAAAGAAAATAAGATGAAATAATTTTGGGCTAGTTGACCTGGAACAGACTTCCATCTTCACTGGGACCAGCAGAGCATCCAGGAGGCCAAGACCAGCCTCTGTCCCACTCTGGCTGAACACTAACCTTGTCAACCTGTCCCTCTCCCCGTTCCCTGTGGGTCAGTTCCATGGTGTTTACATTTTAAAGCTTCTCCCTCCAGGCTCTTTCCCTCATTCTTAGAGCCCAACTTCTGTACAAAACACAGCCTCCCAGACCTTCCAGACCAGAGACACCCAGGGCTGACGTCCTCTTTGTTTGATGCTGCTACCTCCCCCGACCCCAGGTTAAGTGCATTAAAAACTTCTGCCCCCAACACTCCCAGTCATGTCCCCTCGGGGACACCCTGCCCAGCAATGCTCCTGTTGTTTATCTGAATGTCATCTGTGTTTAAAAAAAAAAAAAGGGGCAAAAAAAATATTGAGGGAAAATAAAAAGGCTTAACTGTCCACTGAACAAAGGGAGGACACACAACATCATTAAAAATGACAATAATTATAGCATAAAAACTTTAGAAACACACGTCAGGGGCTTAGGTGTCTCCCCAGGACCTCACTCTGACCTCTAACAGAGGTAAAGAGCACCTCACTGTGAATGGAAACCGGAGAGAAGACCAGAGCAGCAGGATCGCAGCAGTGAGAGAAGGGGGTGGCGGGGCAGGTGCATGTTCTCCTGTTGATTTCTACGTTTGTCTTCTGTTTCTCTGTTTTGTTTTCCGTGTATGGTAGGCACCAGTACAGGCACTGCATGCGACGGAAGTTGGGGACCATGGGAGAGAGGGGGCAAAGGGTTCGAGGCTGGGGCAGCACAAGAGGACAGGCGTTATTTCTGCCCGCTGATGGACTGCGCTATAGACCGGGGAGGGATCATGTCTAAAAGGTACTCCCGCTGTCGGTCTGCCAAACTGGGAGCTTTGTGTCCTCCAATGCCGGTGTTCAAGTATGCAATATTGACACCTGGACCCAGGAGACAAAAGCGGGGAGGGGAGAGGGCAGGCATTAGAAGAGGAAGCAGCAGCAGCCATCTGCCCCAGCTTTAGGGAAAGGGCATTCTTGACACTTCAGTCCTACCAGGAACACCAGCCACATGGTCTTGATGGGATGGCAGTCAGAGGCACAATGGTGACAGGGGGTTTGCCAAGACAAAGAAGCACTTACAGAATCTGCTCTGGGTTTGGGGCTACCGCTCAAGAAGACACGTCCCTCCATCACTCAACCAGGAGTGGGACAGCTCACCCTGCTCTTCTCCATACACCCACTGACAGGGCGCACCAAACAGCAAACTGGTAACGGCAGGGATTGGGCCATGTTCACCACTAAAGCCCTAGGGTGCTGTGGTTTGAATGTATCATGAATTTAGCCAACATATGCCAAATAACAGTGAATGGAGAGGGGTGTAAAAAGCCGACAGAGAAGAATAAACTATTCACCCAAAGAGCTGCATCCTAACCAGCCGGTCCCTGAAGAGCTCTCCCCACAGCCCCTCTCACCTGGCATCCCGAGGAGGCCACCTGGCACAGACAGCTGGGGCGCCTGTGCGAAGTTGGACAGCATGGAACGGGCAGAGGTGGGTATGCCACGCTGGAGGCTGCTCTGGGGCTGTGGAGCCTGCAGTGGAGAGCAGACGGTGGATCACAACATTGCAGCCACGGCAGGGATAAGGGGGAAGTAAGGAGGTGGGAGGACAGAACCTCACCTGCCGAAGGGTATGATGTCTCATTATGGTGTCTTGTTTACTGACACTGGACACGGCTGGAGCCGCAGTGGGGGACAGGGCAGCCTGCTGCTGAAGTCGCTGTTCAATTTCCTGTTGGGAGTCATCAGGTCAACTTGGCAGGACAGCCCCTAATTTCCTACCCAGAAAACCTAGAGGTTGTCTTTTCTCTGATGCTGCCAGCGATTAAGGGGGATATGGAAAAGTCAAGAGTTGGATGGGATGGGTGCACTAAGATCTCTGGGCACAAGGAGCCAACACCGCCTTGCCGGTCAATGGATCTATGTGTCTAGGAAAGCGGACACTCAGAAGCTGGCAGGAGGGATCCCTTGGTGGCTCAGCGATTTAGCACCTGCCTTCTGCCTAGGGTGTGATCCTGGTGTCCCAGGATTGAGTCCCACATCGGGCTTCCTGCATGGAGCCTGCTTCTCCCTCTGTCTGTGTCTCTGCCTCTCTCTCTGTGCCTCTCATGAATAAATAAATAAAATCTTAAAAAAAAAAAACAAACCTTAAAAAAAAAAAAAGCTGGCAGGAGAGGTCTGGATGGTGGCAACCAGCTGACTGATGCGATGAAGTCTGACGAGTTTACTGAAGTTTTTTGACTCCTGTCTACCCATTTTCCAGAATATCCATGATGTAACCCAAAGGGGTCTGATGGGTAATGGAGGGGAGATGGGACAGAGAAGGATCCAAGCTTCCCAATACATCTTTCCATCTCTCATATGTTCCGACTCTGTTAACACTATAGGGCATGTCCACTCACCCCATGCCCCTCCTCCCTGACCATGTTACAGTCCACTCTCTCCGCTGTCATCCCCTTGCCAAACATGGACTGTGGAGATTCTGTCTCTCAAAGAGATTTCCAGTTTAGGTTTGAGAAGGAAATGAAGAGGGAATGGAGGGGTTTCTCTGGCACCTCTAGGGGTTTCTCTGGCACCTCTATGGAGAGCCATGTCTCAGCTTCCTATCCCTCCTCACATGCGCCACTCTGTTGTTAGGCTATTGCCCAACCAGAGAATGTCAAATGGAAATGGGAAAACAAAATATAAGGAGAGAAATAGGGAACCCAGACTTTGAGGCCTAGGCTGTTGGGATTGTGGGGATCACACAGACAGCTCCTCTAAACTAGAAGGAACTACCTTTTGGGAAAACCCAACTTGAGCAGGTGGCTAGTGAGAAGTCAGAATTCTTACCTGTTCCTGCTGTAGGGCTTTAACAAAAGCATTTTTCAGCCGGTTGGTGTGTTCAGCCTTTAGAGCCTTCTTCTGGTTGGAGGTCATACACTGCTCACACAGAATCTTACCATTCTTTTCCTGCTTCCAGTGGGGGGTGAAGTCTGTGCGGCATTGAGCACACACAAAGGGTTCGACCCGCAGGAGTGAGGCGCAGCTTTTGCCTAGATGCCAACAAAAAGAATAATCAGGGCTTTCACATTTCCCCATCTTCTGTTCCTTCATCAAATGAACTTTTTTTTTTTTTTTTTAAAGATTTTACTTATTCATTCATGAGAGATAGAGAGAGAGAGGGGGGCAGAAACACAGGCAGAGGGAGACGCAGGCCCCATGCAGGGAGCCCGATATGGGACTCGATCCCAGGACTCCAGCCAGGATCATGCCCTGGGCTAAAAAGGCAGGCACCAAACCGCTCAGCCACCCAGGGAGCCCTCAAATGAACTTTTTAGAAGGTTATTCTGCTGAATTAAGAAAGAGATTCTACAATTTATTTATACTTTTTAATTTTTTTAAATTTTTAAAGATTTTATTTATTTATTTATTCATGAGAGACACACAGAGACAGGCAGACACAGGCAGAGGGAGAAGCAGGCTCCATGCAGGGAGCCTGATGTGGGACTCAATCCTGGGACTCCAGGATCACGCCCTGGGCCAAAGGCAGGCACTAAACTGCTAAGCTACCCAGGGATCCCTATTTTTATATTTTTAAAGATTTTTATTTATTTACTCATGAGACACACAGAGAGAAGGCAGAGACATAGGCAGAGGGAGAAGCAGGCTCTGAGCAGGGAGCCCGATGTGGGATCACACCCTGAAGCACGCTCAACCGCTAAGCCACCCAGGCATCCCGAGATTCTACAGTTTAGAAGATACTTTTATTTCATTTGACTGTAACAAGGTCACTGGGGGACTCAGAAATACTGCTCCGTGTATAGACAAGGAAGCAAAGTGTAAGCAGCATGGCTCCTAACAACAAAGCTGGCACAAGAACTCCAGCTCCCTGACTTATTTCAACAAGAAGGAAACATGTTTAATTCCATCCAACTTGGCCAACACTTTGGCTGTTTGGAATCCTTTTACATCAGACTGCACCTATCCCGGGCCCAGATACTTAAAATTTTTAGTTATCAGTGTCCAAATCACACGCTTTGTGATCTGTTTATAGTCAATACTGAGTCCTTCAGGCACCTTCCTCTACAGTCAAGTGTTCCGCTAAGTCTATATGTTCAGAAATTCAGGCTTACTAACTTTGGTTGGTGTTAATACTTGATAGTCTGGTTCACAGGTTCCACGTGGTCATAGTTTATCTCCTTAAGTCTTTCTTTCTTTTTAAGATTTTGTTAAAAAGATTTTATTTATTTATTCATGAGAGACATAGGTGAGAGACAGATGAGAGAGATACAGAGATATAGGCAGAGGGAGAAACAGGCTCCATGCAGGGAGCCCAATGTGGGAATTGATCCCGGGACCGTGGGATTACTCCCTGAGCCAAAGGTGGACGCTCAACCACTGAGCTACCTAGGCATCCCTTTTTTAAAGATTTTATTTATTTACTCATGAAAAAAACAGAGAGGGCAGCCCTGGTGGTGCAGTGGTTTTGCGCCCCCCCTGCAGCCCAGGGTGTGATCCTGGTAGACCCGGAATCGAATCCCAGGTTGGGCTCCCTGCATGGAGCCTGCTTCTCCCTCTGCCTGTGTCTCTGCCTCTCTCTGTGTGTCTCTATGAATGGATAAATAAAATCTATAAATCTATAATTAATTAATTAATTAATTAATTAATTAATTAAAAAAAGAAAGAGAGAGAGAGGCAGAGACATGGAGGAAGAAGCAGGCTCCATGCATGAAGCCCAATGCGGGACTTGATCCTAGGACCCCAGGATTACTCCCTGAGCTGAAGGCAGAAGCTCAACCACTGAGCCACCTAGGTGCCCCTTAAGTCTACTTTTTCTTTTTTTTTTTTAAATTTTTTTTTTTTTTTTTTTTTTTATTTATGTATGATAGTCACAGAGAGAGGGAGAGAGGCAGAGACATAGGCAGAGGGAGAAGCAGGCTCCATGCACCGGGAGCCCGATGTGGGATTCGATCCCGGGTCTCCAGGATCGCGCCCTGGGCCAAAGGCAGGCGCCAATCCGCTGCGCCACCCAGGGATCCCCAAAGTCTACTTTTTCAACTGTAAGTGTTCAAATGGCAGGGACTGCTCAGTGCCAGACAGACATGGACAATAAAAATAAGTGTTCAAATTATGCATATTTCATTCTAGGCACCAATGAAAAGAACTAAATATACTGTAAAAAATATACAAGATATACAAATATAGTAAAAATATTAAGCCTAAGCTATACTGACACACGAAAAGTGTTTCTGATGTGCTGCTCCCAAAAAGCCTCTGAATAAGGAACAAGTAGGGACGCCTGGGTGGCTCAGTGGTTGAATGTCTGCCTTTGGCTCAGGGCGTGATCCTGGAGTCTCGGGATTGAGTCCCACATCAAGCTTCCTGCATGGAGCCTGTTTCTCCCTCTGCCTGTGTCTCTGCTTCTGTCTCTCTCTACCTCATGGATAAATAAAGAAAATCTTAAAAAAAAAAAAAAAAAAAGGAACAAGTAAGGAGAGGTTACTGACAGTACACAGTACCGTGTCAATCAGGCTCGGCAGCCTCTTGCTGAGATAAAAGACTGACCAGAGGAAGTAGCCTCACCTTGGCTGTCAATGACACTCTGTACGACTTCCTCCAAGCCCACCATGTAGATGAACTCGCTATTGGCTGCACTAGGCAGGAAGTGAAGCAAGGGAGCAGGAGGTTTAGGGGGTGGGATCTCCAGGAGTGTCTTTTCCAGCTGTTTGCGAAGAGCCAATTTGGCTGCAGCCTGGGAGTTGGCAGCATCGGTCATGGCGCTGGGGCTAGGAAGTGGTGAGGACACTCTGTTCACGGTTCCTGGCTGGATGTGGGAGGCAAGGTTCATATAGATGGCAGAGGATGCTGTGCGCTGGCAGGGAACAGAAGAACTCGACTGCTGGAATGCAGGGAGCACAGGGATCAGTGATGGGATGTGGCAGCAAGGGCCAAGTCTTACTTTCATGGCAGAAAACAGTATCTGAGCCTAGTCTGGATTTCTTATATTTCCCAAAACTCAGAAGATAGGAGGTGTCCAACCTCAATGAAACAGAATTCTAGCACAAGGGAAAGGAAGAGTGCCCACGAGTGACAACTGCTAAGAGGAAAATGAGGGGATCTCTTTGCCCTCTGTCCTCATGCCTCTTCCCCAGGGCCCTGCTTTCTTCCAGGCAGGTGTCAGCCCGCTGCTGCTCTGCTATGCAGCCTCCCTCGTCTATTCCTATCCTTAGGAAATTCCTCTGTGTTTCCACTTTCAGGACTGTGGTGAATCCAAGTGCCACCAAAACTACCCTGGGTTGTCCTACAGCTTCTCTATATCCAAAACTTTAAATTCTATGGTTCTTTTAACAGAGAAAGCAAATAAAAGACTTCTCTGTTTCCATATTAGGGCTCTTACCGGTTGGTAATTGATGGCAGGATTCATGTTGGGTGTTGTGGTGCGTACAAGGCCAGGCTTGGGTGGGCCCCGCTGACCCTGGAGCTGAGTTGGGTTTGGTGCAATAACACGTTGAGACATCAACATATGTGGGAGGGTGGTATTGGTCGCTGAACGGATGACACTGTGACCCTGAAGGGGAAGAAGAGGAAATGAAGTCAGAGGGGGTAAAATGCCTATACCACATAGCTGAGTGGAAACATAGTCAGGCTTGGTAATTTTGTCTAATGATCTATGAAATAAATGTACCATCAATGTAAACCCTAATTAGTGGTATAAGCTATCTAACCCTAGATGGAAAGGGCTAAGCTAGAACTGTCCAGATAAGAAAAATAATAATGGGAAGATGAGGATATTCATTGTATGGTGCTACCAAGTGCCACCACACTCCAATTATGCCAGAAGGGACCCACGACAGTAACAGCACCTCTACCATAGTGGGGTTCTTCTATAATGATCACAAAAGTCCCAAACCAGAGATGGGATGGATAGGGCTCTCTAATTCAAAGACCCTGTGGTGGGCCACATACCTGTAATGTTCTCAGACTCTGTGGTTCAACCCCTTGGGCCCCTGGCCGGGAGGGAAGCTTTGACAGGCCCTGCTGTGCCCCATGAGCAGGAGACGGCTGAACGATGGATGCTGCATTCTGCACAACTGGGGTCTGGGAGAGAGAAAAGACAGTGAAACACAGGAAGAAAGCTGGTACACTCCCAGACTTTTAAAATTTCTTGTTGGGGTGAAGCTTATGTTGACCAAAAGGAAAAATAAGAAAAATGGAACCAAGGCTTTCTTGATTAAAACCTAAGATTAAAAAAAATATATAAACTATTATATATATATATATATATATATATATATATATATATATATATATATATAAATATTCTTAGAAACTAAAAAAAAAAAACATGGAACCAGAGAAAAATGGACTACCCAACTGAACCTACCCGAGTCAGTCCATTCTCAAACCCACACCCATATTTCTAGGGCATAATACCTTCTGGACCACGTTCTCTTTCTGTAGCTGGCTCTGCCTCAGTTTCTTTAATAGCACCAGCCGGGCTTCTTCCAATCGCAGCTCATCCCTTAGCTGCTTGATGAGCTGCTGCCGTTCTTCCATGCCTTTCCCCTAAGAAAACAGGAGGCAGTTAACTATGGGAGCAGGAACCCAGAGTCCCTTCCTGCAAGATGATCTCTTCTTCTAGGTTTGAAATCATCTTCCACACAAAGCAGAAGGAGCAATGGGGCTGCTATCTTTGTGTCTCTGGAGTCCAGAACAGTGCTTGGTATTTAGCAGGTGCTCAAAAAATGCTTACAGAATGAGAGGAGAGACCACATGAAAATCATAATCAACCAGATTTGTCAAAATAGAAGAATGCTCACAGGGAGACACTGCTTTCCTTTAAAATAATGTGTCTAGGGATATCTGGGTAGCTCAGTGGTTGAGCGCCTGCCTCCAGCCCAGGGTGAGATCCTGGAGTTCTGCGATCGAGTCCCATATCGGGCTCCCTGAGTGAGGCCTGCTTCTCCCTCTGCCTGTGTCTCTGCCTCTCTCTCTCTGTCTCTCATAATAAATAGATAAAAAATCTTTTTTTAAAATTTTTATTTAATTTTTATTTAATTTTTATTTTTTAAATAATAAATTTATTTTTTATTGGTGTTCAATTTGCCAACATACAGGATAACACCGAGTGCTCATCCCGTCTTTTTATTCATTCATTCATGAGAACACACAATAGATTTTTAATCTATTTATGAGAGAGAGAGAGAGAGAGAGAGAGAGAGAAAGAGAGGCAGAGACACAGGCAGAGGGAGAAGCAGGCTCCACGCAGGGAGCCCAATATGGGACTCGATCCTGGGTTTCCAGGATCAGGCCCTGGGCTGAAGGCGGCGCTAAACTGCTGAGCTGCCCAATAAATAAAAAATCTTAAAAAAAGAAAAAAAAAGTTTCTGGATCTTTTCAAGCCAAGTTTCTTCTAGATATAAAAACTTAGGAATCCCTTCATGTTATAAGAACCAGGATAGAATGGTTCCAGTCAAGAATTTACGTTATGTGACTTACGAAGTTTTGTTTTCATTTTCTGAAAGATGGATTATACTGAATATGCTTTGTCAAACTGTCTTCTTCACTTGGTTCTAATAGTTCCTTCTAAAAGGAGTGCCTGGCTGGCTCAGTAGGGAGGTGGAGCCTGTGACTCTTGATCTTGAGGTTGTAGATTCAAGCCCCATGCTGGGTGTAGAGGTTACTGAAAAATAAAATCTTTAGGGGAGCCTGGGTGGCTCAGTTGGTTGAGCATCCGACTCTCGATTTCAGCTCAAGTCATGATTTCAGGGGCCATGAGACTGAGCCCCCTGATGGGCTCTGTACACAGTGGGTAGTCTGCTTGAGACTCTCCCTCTCCCCTCTGGCCCTCTCCCCACTTATGGTCTAAAATAAAGAAATCTTTTTTCTTAAACTGTTTTTTTTTTTTAAAGATTTTATTTATTTATTCATGAGACAGAGAGAGAGAGAGACATAGGCAGAGGGAGAAGCAGGTCCCCTGTGGGGACCCAGATGTGGGACTTGATCCCAGGACTCCAGGATCACACCCTGAGCCAAAGGCAGATGCTCAACCTCTGAGCCACCCAGGCGTCCCAAAAATAAGTAAATCTTTAAAAAATAATATAAAGTAAAATAAAATCTGAAGGAAATAAAAAAATAAAAGGGCATGCCCTTGAGGTTGAGAATCACTTATAAAAAGTTTCACCAAAAAAAAAAAAGGTAATTATTTAATTAAAAAAATAAACTATGAAAAACACAGAACTGGGACTCTTAGAGAACTGAAGAAAATAGAAGAAGCAAACAATGAAGAAAGAAATTTTTTTCTTTCTTCTTCTTTTTTTTACCTTAAACATCTCTAAGTTGGCTGCTTTGAGTCTTTCTTCCATTCGGGAACTGGAGCGGGGGCTGGAAGCCTCATTATCAGATAAAACAATGATGTCTGGGGAAGGAGTCAGCCTTCCTCGGTCTGGCTCACTAGACAAGAAAATAAAAAATTAAGGTATTTCAACAGTGAATGTTCACAAAAAACTTAAAACTTTTTTTCTACACTGAACAAAGAAATCCAATGGAACTTAGGTCTGTCCCAATTCACCAGGCGGACTCAAATCCTAGGATGAAGAAGACACTGAAGTGGTGCTAAAGCCTCAGCAAAAGTACTTTCCATCCAAATGCCTTGTGTGGGGACAAGACACACATAGTGACTGGCTCCAAAAATGGGAGTAAGAGATGAGTGTTCTTATGACATTGATTTGAATCAAAATTCTAAATGTTTTCCTTGTATCTCACTCTCCTTTGGGTTATCTCATTAGTTGTGCAGAGGCTCAAGAAGGAAGCCACTAGCTGGAAGGGGGAAGAAGGGCAAAGGCAAAGGCAGGAGAGCTTAGGTGCAGATGGTACACGACTAAAAAAGCAGCTTGTATACTGGTGACAACATGGTGCTGGCTATCTAAGAATTTACAAGAGATTATATGACCACCCTAATGGTAGTCTGTCAAGGGTTAAGGTAGAAGAAAGTACTGTAGTCAGCTGCTTGAGGGAATGCATGGTGCTAAGTCTTCTGGAGGATTCAAACTCCAGAACTAGATATATGGAACTTGCATCTACTGGCTAGACTTCTACTTAGCATCTTCCCTCAGCAAGAAAACTCTCCAGAAATGACTCTGAGATCTGGGTCCCTTTATTCTCAATCTTACTCAGACAATCATAGTTTTGGTCTTTGGGGGCTAGCTGTCAAAGCATCATACTTGTTTCTCTAAGATGGTAAAAAATGGCACTGAATTCTGGAGATTATAATTGTCTTAGGTTCCCAAATCAATGACATCTTCTAACTCTGATCTCCCAAAACCTACTTCCTTGAGATTTTAGGTGCAGTTAGGAATATACTGATCTAAAGCAATGTGTAGGGGCACCTGGGTGGCTCAGATTACTAAGCGTCTGCCTTCGGCTAAGGTCATGATCCCAGGTCATCAAATTCTTAACATCCACAGATCTTTAGACCTGAGAGCCTCTCTACCATTTCTCTACGTCCCCTGTTCCAGCTGTTGGGACATTGATGCCTTTTCAACAGGGCACCCTGGCTAGTTGGGATAAGGATCCAATTTCTCAATAGGGTAAAACAGAATTGGTAAAATCAATCAAATTCAGGTAAGAAAACAGAATACAGGGACAGAGTGACATGCATAACTATATTGGAAACTATTACATTTGTCTGGATTGCTCTATAACCACTGGTTGCACATAGCAAGCTGAAGATGTGGGGTTACAGAAAAAGAAGCCACTAGAGGGAGAAGAGCCCATGTTTCTCTGACCCCGAGTTGCTGGAATAATGGTCAGGCCTACAGTGTTGGATTTCATTTTCTGGTGATTTCATTTTCCATTTCTATATTCCTTCATCCCTTCCTCCCATCCCAACACTAACACAGGTGACTAATTTTTACTTCTACTTGAATTCCCAGTGTCTATTTACATCAACAATCTGAAGCTCCTTCCATTCTGGTCCTGGCTGGATACATACATCAAGATTATCTCTAAGCTAACAAATTCCTCCTTGCTCAAATGAATGCCACCCACTGCTTCAGGACTGCCCAGCACTAAGACAGGCAGAGACATTCCTGGATGGAGACTGTGGGACTAACCAGCACCTATCGAGAAGTTGTATCTGAGAACAACCCTAACTAAATGAGATGTTATTCCTGGATATAAATCAGATCCACATTAGATAGATAATAGTACAGGCAAGACAAAACCCAAGTAAAGTTCTGTTTCATTCTTTGTTTTTTTACTTCTGACTTGAGATTCTGGTCTTACTAATTAATCAAGCTTTCCAGGGACAGAAATTATTTTGCTACTTTCCCAAATATATATGTGATTTACATTATTTGGTGTTCTTAAGTATGAAACTTTACCTGTTGGAGAGAGATTACTAAAACTCTGATTTGTTGCTGACATCACTTATGACTCAGACTGGCAGATTCCCAAAAGCTGTTACTTCCAATCCTCATTCTAGTAGTAAAAACAACTAAATAGAAAGAAAACTGCCATGTTTCTCTAGCATCCCAGAATGTAAGCAGTGGTTTCACACACACCTTATTTCATATACATTATAACCTTCCTGGCAAAAAAATAAATTAAAAATAAATTTTAAAAATATTTAGGCAATTATGATATGGCTATCATTGATGTCAGGGGCTCTGCAGCATTCTTTCTGCTTTAAAATTGCCTTTTTAAAATCCAGATCAAAGACACTGTTGTTCTCCTTGCTGAACAATCTATCAATCCTGTTCATTCTTATAAAAAGCTTGGGGCGAAGTGGAAATAATTGTCAGTATATCTGGTGAAAGGGGAGAAGTGTCAGGGGTCAATAGAATGGGGATCTAGGTAGTTTACATCAATCCTCTTTTCCTGGAGACCATTAAAAACAGTTCCTGGTTTCCAAAGGATCAAGTTTCAAAAGTTCATCCCTCTAAAATAAAAATTGAATGCAAAAGAAAAAAAAATGAAAAAATGAATGCAATGGTAGAGTTTTCAGCAGTCTTGACTTTTCAACACAGAATTTATTTATTTACCATAATACCAATAATAGTACTACTGACATCTCACCAGAGTGTATAACAATATTTCTACAAAAAATGCACTTTCAGAGTCAATTTGGGATGTGAGGACTCCATCCAACATTTATCCTCTTCCACCTCCCCATTCAAGTAGGATCAGTACTTGCTCCAGAAGGGTGAGGGTGGCTGATGGGCAAGTGGGTTGCTCCGGGGCATGGTCTCACTCATCTGCTTTCTTTTTTCTTAAAAGATCTCAGGATTAATCTATTTTCATAATATTCTGCTGATACTACATATAGCTTCCAAGCTACCCAAGGATTTTTCTCCTTTTATGATCGATTGGTAATTTATTTAAAGTTTCCTAAGGGTTTTAAATGCTATTACCAAGAATAAATGATCCCTCATTGGCTGTGGTTTAAAAAAATAATCCAGGGATAGTACTACTAAGTAAACATTAGAAGCTAGAGAAAGAAGCCCAGGTAAGGCTCTAACCCTTTCTTTCTCCTTCAATCATAAGACAAATTCAGGAAGGCCAGCTAGAGGGCAAGTGGACACTGAAGAGTAATTCTCATGCCCTATCAGCTATATCTGAACTATTAATAAACTGAATGTTCTCAGAGCTAGGGTTGTCCACGCTATGATTCACTGTCCTGGAAATCATCACCCTCAGCCAGGACCTCTTAGCACGTGCTCCACTGTTTCAAGTACTCAGCCTTGACAGACACCAGAAAAAAGTCCTGTGAAAACGTGTGCCTGTGAGAGTGCACACGCACAAGAATCAGTGTATGTGTACAACATATATATATGTTTATGCATGTGTGGAAGTTGAAGACAGTGGCACAAACAAACCAAGAATGCAGAGAATTAGCACATGAAGACAATTTCCTCGTTCACACAAGAGGAGCGGGGCCCATCTTTTTGGATGTAACAGAAATGAGGACTCCTTAACAGATTCTGAAACTCTCAGGGTGACTTGAAAGAAAGACTATTGCCCTTCTAAAATGGCCCTAAGATTGGAGTGAAGCCAGTATCATCTCACTTCCAACTGGTATAGCAGCTCTAAGGTGCCTCTCTCATCCAAAAATGACCGTTTTATCTTAAGGGTGTTAACTACAGGATTCTCTGAGTGCTAAGCAGATATATGAGGCATTGAGTTTCATTTGGAAGTGAGAAGAATTCATGGTCAAGCCAAATGGCACACATACGTCTTCTTTCAAGAAGCACCTCCTTTCACTGGAATTCATCCCATTTTCACAGGCTTAGTTTTTGAGGAGACCCCACTGCGAGAGGCAGCTGAACCATGCCATACCTCCGCCTTGCACTCATATCCACAGGCTCATCACTGATGTTTTCTTTGCCAGGCCTTCCAGAAGTCCTGTTGTCTCCATGAGGCCTGAGATTCCCATTGAGCTTCTCTTCATAGCCCTTGACACCACTGCTATCCTGTTTGGTGGGCAACTCATGTGGCACTTCAAGATTCGCCAGATCCTTCCGTTTAAGGAGTGCCAGCATTTTCAGGCGTTCCATGGCCTCATGACCCTCCATTTTGAGTCGTTTAGCCAGGACATCATCTCGCTCATCTGCTGGGTCCAAGCTCCGCTTCAACAGGTTCAGGCGAAGAGCATCTTCTGTCATTCTATCCATCCTACAGAAAGGAAAATACAAGTGAGATCAGAACACAGCCCCTTCAACAGTCCATAAGGAACAAGGGTGGGTGGCAGAGGTACTTGGCAGAATTACAGGGGCACCCCGGCTGGTTCAGCTGGTAAAGCCTGCAACTCTTGATCTCAGGGTTGTGAGTTCAAGCCCCACACTGAGGGTAGTGCCTACTTAAAAAAAAAAAAATCATAGATACATGGAAGCTTAAAGGTCATGAGCTTACTTACCCTCTATCTTCCCAGAATACCTATACTAAATGAGATTTCTCCACTCAACTTCAGCAGTGGAAAGTAAATTTCAATTACTTTGTAGTCATCGAGGTCCTTACTGTATCACCACTACACTCACCTGGATGGTCCATTAAAAGCCTACATCTCTTAGAAACTAAATATTCTTTTGTGACTGGCTTTTTTGTGTCTGTATACTCAAAGTCAGATGACTTGGTTTTAACTATCATACCAAATTCTTCTCCTGGAAAATGACTTTTATGAATAGGAAACTCCTCAGATCACCCAGACAGATCTTCAATTGGTCTATCTTAGGGGAAATATGAGAAAGATGAACTAAACAAAGTGCATTTAATGGAAAGCCTCAGCTGTCTGGATGCAATAAGTCTATATAGATACAGATTCAGTATCTTAAGATACTTGGCTTTAGGGGTGCCTGGCTGGCTCAGTTCAAAAGCACCTGACTCTTGATCACAGGGTTGTGAGTTCAAGCCCACTGGGCATGGAGCCTACTTAGAAAAAAAAAAAAAAAAAGATAACATGGCCTTAATCAAAGACTCAGGTGTTTAGGCTGATAAGAGGTAAGACTTTCTCCACTTACAAAGCAAAATTATTAAAGGCAAGAAAATTATCATTTTCCCTCTCACTTTGATTTTTTATACTAACAAAATCTAAATGCAGCATTTCTTCCATACTTTTAAATCCAGGGCTGTTTTCCTGGTAGGAAATAACAATAAGGCACTGGAAAGAAAATTTTTTGAGCCATAGAAACATAGGTTCAAACTGCTAATTACTTTTATAAGGTCAAATATTTAATAAGTTACTTTATCTCCCTAAATTTCAACTTTATCTGTAAAAGTGGGTACTTAGAAGATGACCAACAAAATTTAATTTCTATACCCTAGGATTATGGACTTCTATACCTAAAATAAGAGATCATGCCCAATAATTCACAGACTCAAACAGCAGGACAGAGAATACTACCAATGTTAATTGGTGCTCTTGCAAAGAAAATTACGTTTGTGCTTGCGGCATCTTCCTTCTTGTAGCAAGGAGTAATATAAGAGCTATTTGATCCCTTCTTGGGTATGGCAAAAACAACAACAACAACAACAACAACAACAACAAAAAGAAACAGACATTTTGGCTATCAGGAAAAAAGTCAAAAGCCAGATCTCTAAAATTTTGGGTAATGTCTTTTTTTCTTTTCTTTTTTCTTTTTCTCCTTCCTTCCTTCCTTCCTTCCTTCCTTCCTTCCTTCCTTCCTTCCCTCCTTCCTCCCTCTCTCCCTCCCTCCCTCCCTTCCTTCCTTCCAAGATTTTATTTACTTATCATGAGAGACACAGAGAAAGAGAGGCAGACACACAGGCAGAGGGAGAAGCAGGCACCCCGCAGGGAGCCTGATGCGAGACTCAATTCCAGGACCCCAGGATCACGCCCTGAGCCAAAGATGGACACTCAACCATGGAGCCACCCAGGCGCCTTTTTTTGTTTTTCTTTTTAAAAAGATTTTATTTTAGAGAGAGTTGGGGGGGGGTGAGTGAGAGACAGCAGTGAGAGTCTGAGCATAAGAAGGGGGGGGGTCAGAGGGAGAAGCAGACTTCCCGCTCAGTGGGGAGCTTGATGTGAGGCTCAATCCTGGGACTACGGGATCGTAACCCTGAGCTGAAGCAGATATGCTTAACTGACTGAGCCACCCAGATGCCCTTTTTCCTTTTAAAAATAAATATTTTATTATTTTTTACTTATTTGAGAGAGAGAGAGAGAGAGAGAGAGAGAGAGAGAGAATGAATGAATATGAGTGGAGGTGTGGCAGAAGGAGAAGCAGGTGCTCCGCTGAGCAGGGAGCCTGATGCGGGACTCAATCACAGGACTCTGAGGTCATGACCTGAGCTGAAGGCAGATGCTTATTGACTGAGCCACCCAGGCGCCCCTGGGTAATATTTCTTAATTGTTTTTATGTTTTGAAGATTTTATTTATTCATTCATGAGAGACAGAGAGAGAGAGAGAGAGAGAGAGGCAAAGACATAGGTAGAGGGAGAAGCAGGCTCCTTGCAGGGAGCCCAATGCAGGATTTGATCCTAGGACCCCAGGATCATGACCTGAGCCAAAGGCAGATACTCAACCACTGAGCCACCCAGGCGCCCCCTTAATTCTCTTTTTAAAAGATCAACTTTATTGAGATGTAATTCACAGATCGCACAATCTACCTATTCACAGTACACATTTTAGGGTGCTGGGTGGCTCAATTGGTCAAGTGGCCAACTTCTGATTTTTGGCTCAGGTCCTGTTCTCATCTTAGTTAGGTACTTGATCTCAAGTACTAAGCCCTGCATTAGGCTCCAAGCTCAGTGAGAAGTCTGCTTGAGGGTTCTCTTCTCTTCCTCTCTCTTTGCCCCTCCCGCGTCTTACGTGTGTACACTCTCAAGTAAATAAATGTAAAAAATAAATAAAGTGCATATCTCATAGGTTATTTTTTCTATTTTTTAAAGATTTTATTCATTTATTCATGAGAGATAGGGGGCGGGGAGCAGAGACACAGGCAGAGAGAGAAGCAGGCTCCATGCAAGTAGCCCGTCGTGGGACTCGATCTGGCACTCCAGGATTACGCCCTGGGCCGAAGGCAGGCACCAAACCACTGAGCCACCCAGGGATTCCCCCCTCATAGGTTTTTAGTATATTCCCAAAGCTGTGTAACCATCACCACGATCAATATTAGAACATTTTTATCATCTACTCCCTAAAAAACCCATACCTATTATAGCAGTCCTTCTATCCCCATCTCTGTCCTCAACTAATTTACTTTGTCTTTAAATCCACAAAGTTTCCCCTTTTATGGGGAGTGGGGGTAGAGCCAGGAAGTGTACAAGGGAGGAGGTGCAGAGAGAGACTCTTAAGCAGGCTCCATGCCCAGTGCAGAGCCTTACCAGGAGGCTTGATCTCATGACCAGGAGAGATCATGACCTGAGCCCAAATCAAGAGTTGGATGCTTAACTGACTGAACCACCCAGGTGCCCCTGGACTTTTCACATAGATGGAATCATACAATATGTGGTTTTTTTGTGACTGGCTTCTTTCACTGAGCATCATGTTTTTAAGGTTTGTTCATGTTTGTAGCCTGTGTTAGTACTTTGTATCTTTTTATTTCCAAACGTTATTTCATTTGTATAGATATATTTTGTTTGTCCATTTATCAATTAATGGACATCCCCCCACCACCACTTTTTGCTATTATGAACAATGCTGCTACGCAGTTTTGTGTACAAGTTTTTGTGTGAACATGTTTTTAGTTCTCTCGGGTATAGACTTAGGAGGGAACTGCTGCATGGTAACTCTTTGCTCAACATCTGGATGCAGCACTGGGCTTCTTTCCAGATGGGCTGTACCATCTTTTTAAAAATTTTTAAAGATTATTTATGAGAGAGAGAGAGAGCAAGAAAGCACGCTCATGAGCTTGGGAAGGGACAGAGTGAGAGGGAAAAGTAGGCTCCCTACAGAGCAGGGAGCCTGATGCAGAGCTTGATCCCAGGACCCTGAGATCATGACAGGAGCTGAAGGCAGAAGCTTCACTGACTGAGCCACCCAGGTGCCCCAAGGCTGTACCATTTTTGGTCCACGCCAGCAGCACATGAGGTTCCAACTTCTCCATATCCTCTTAGTTCTATTTTAATAGTTTCAGATAGGGGACATATTCTAGAATATACAGTCTTTAGCTACAGGTCCCCCTAAAAATCTGGTATTTTGATGTAATTTCTGAAGTGGTTTACCTCCAAAAATTACCCTCAAAGTGGAAATTGGAAAGCTGAATGCTACAGATCAAAAGTTAACCTCCATCTCCATGTTTTTTTTTTTTTTTTTTTTATGATAGAGAGAGAGAGAGAGAGAGAGAGAGAGAGAGAGAGAGAGAGGCAGAGACATAGGCAGAGGGAGAAGCAGGCTCCATGCACCGGGAGCCCGACGTGGGATTCGATCCCGGGTCTCCAGGATCGCATCCTGGGCCAAAGGCAGGCGCCAAACCGCTGCGCCACCCAGGGATCCCTCCATGTTAACCGTGTTCCAGGGAACTTGATCAACATCTCATATTGAGAGGACAACTAAGAATCCCATGGGGGGGGGGGCAGCCCCGGTGGCGCAGCGGTTTGGCGCCGCCTGCAGCCTGGGGTGTGATCCTGGAGATCCGGGATCGAGTCCCACATCGGGCTCCCTGCCTGGAGCCTGCTTCTCCCTCTGCCTGTGTCTCTGCCTCTCTCTCTGTCTTATGAATAAATAAATAAAATCTTAAAATAGGGGCGCCTGGCTGGTTCAGTCAGTAGAGCATGTGTTGCTTAATTAACCTCAGGGTCATAAGCTCAAGCCCCACATTCACTAAGGAGCCTGCTTAAAATAAAATTTTAAGAAATTCTGTAAAATAAATGTTATATTTTGCTTTTCAACGCCTAACCAAGCCTTGCTTCCTATGGGCTGCTAATGATAACAGCTAATCTTTCTTAAGTACCTACTTAAAAGCCAAACACTCTACTGGGCACTTACCACATGTTCTCATTTAAATCTCCTCAACAAGTTACTAAGTGGTATTATCCCTACTTTACAGTTGGGAAAATGTTAAATCAAGTATCCCCAAGACTATAAAGCCTTTGACAGTGAATCTGGGATTCCTATGGAGGTCTAGTTCACTTCAAAAATGTGTTATTGGGACACCTGGGTGGCTCAGCAGTTGAGCGCCTGCCTTGGGCCCAGAGCAGGATGCTGGAATTCCAG